AAGTATTCAAATGATGCTAGTCATATTTGTTAACTTTTAGATTACGTTACGAAATAAAATCAAAGTAATATAAGTGGTTCAAACAATGATAAGTATCATTGAGAGGTTTAATAAATGGAGAAAAAAACATCCAACAGCATATAAAGGAATAAGAGTAATCCCGTTGATATTGACGGTGAGTCTGACAGTTTACCTGTTAACAAGAGACATCATACAATATAAAGAGTATGAACAACGAGATAATTATACACTGTTGAAGACTGGATACCAGTACTACATTGTGAAAGAAAACTGATCTATTAGCGATTGCCCATCAGGATCTGCATTTTCTTTCGACGTTACTGAAATCTATCTTCAGGTAATAGTCAAATCAGGTATTTTTCCAAACCAAGCTTTGATTAATATTTTAACATTGTTTTGGTTGAACATCGTACTGGTCATCGTTTTGACGCTATTGGATATATATCTGGCATTAAGGAACATCTGTAATATTTCTAAAATACATCCGAATCACTATAATGCAAAGAATTCTAATCACAAATGCCGTTGGATTGCTGGTAAAATTTTTGAAAAAACTCTGGTCCAAAGAAACAATAACAGCTTCAACCTATTATATATTCTTATTTGATTATTCGCGTATCTGCTTGAAATATCGTTCAAAAGCGGAAGTTTATGCCATAGAAACGGTCGTATTTGCAATTCTTTTCCCACTTCTTGGTGTTGCATGGACGATAGTTGTTCTGATACATACAAAGTGTACTATTGGTATTTGTAGTTATGGATGCAGTTATGATGAAATAAAGGCAATGTCACAAAATCGACAGAATTCGAATAGGTCAAACTATTGTAGTGGCTGTCTATTTTTATTCGGATTACCAGTCATTCTGTTCGGTGGTTATTTATGGGTTTTGATTATAATGAAAGAATCAACAAGGGATAGTGCTATACTTATTGCAGTAAATATTATTATTTCTATTCTTGAATAAATAACATTGAACATCATTGAAGCAAGATTCTTTTTGCATCAGAGATTTAAAAACATGTTCAGTCACATCTTTATCTGACTGCAAGAAAATGAAGGCCATCTTCTATGAATATATTAGAGCAATCTAACAACGTGAAGATGTGATTAAAGGTGTGAATTGATGTAAACAGAGATGCGTAAAGTAATTCAAAATAATTCACCTTCAAGCCTATTTTGTAATATGGGCTTAGTCAGTCATTCCCATATAGTTGCATTTTGGATGTAATTGTAATTATGAGAGGATTTCAGTATTTCCTCTTCGTTCAAATTAACGCATTCACACTTACCAACATGACTGACGACAATCAAAAGTGCTTGCTAGAAAAAAAAACGCGCGCATTTAAGCTTCAGACTTCCAAATTGATTTGAATTCGAAAAAAAAACAATTCGATAAATGGTAGTAGAACTGGCTGCCAATGTAGTCTATCATCAATCTATTATGTAAACCTAATATTAAACCTTATGCAACTGACACATTGAATCTCTTCACCTCTTTTTTTTCTGGCGTCCGTCTTTCTTCTCTAACTCATATCATAGTTTGCTCATTTACTTGCTTGTTAGTTCGCTTCTCTTCATTCTATCATCGATTTTCTTCGATATCATATCTTCGCATTCATCTTGCTGGCGTATGTCAGTAGTATTTATATACCACTTACCATTCTTCTCAAATCTCATTACGGGAATTTGTCGTATAACGGCTACGATCAAAAGACTCTCGCTTAGTTCCAATGAGATTCTACAACAGTCTTAAAAGTGTTCGACAAGAGTAGTGCTGTGAATTTTGCCGTTCAACTCATATCAACACAATTGAAGACTAAACTTGCTTTACAATACCGAATCTCTGCTGTCATTGCTTCTTACAAGTTTGTAAAGCCATAAAACTGAAAGATAACAGTTGTTTTTGCTTTGTTTTTATCCTGAAACAATAAAAGAAGTAATTATGGTCGCTTTATTTTTCATCTAACGTGTGAAACAGGTAAGCCAACTTTGATAACACATAAGAGAGATAATGGTCGTTCGATATTAACTTTCATCAACGATGTTAAAACATGTCGCAACTCAATCATAGTAGAAACTTAGGTACGGATAAGAGAAAAACTATTTAAACTGAAAGACAAAAACCATAATTTGTATCCATTTTAAGATTTACTGATGCAGTCTATTTCTCTATCAAATCACAAACATGACAGAGTCATCGAGAACTGTGTTGTTGTCTCGCTTCATGAGCATAACGAAAATGATCAAGAAGAGTTGGTCTCTCATCTTCATTATGTTGCCAGCGCAGTTCAAACATTCAATGAACCCAATGCATTTGCTGATTTTGTTACCAATATAGAAAAGCAAAAAGTTTTTCTTATCATCTCTGCCACTTTCAGCACATACATTATTCCTCTTCTTCATGATTTACCACAACTTGATTCGATCTACGTTTTCTGTTCTAAAAGTATGGCAAAAACTGCTGAACTTCGTTGGTTGCCGAAATATCACAAATTTAAACGTGTCTTTTTCGAAATCAATCCACTGTGTGATCGTATCCAACGAGATATAAATCGAATTGACAATGCAAGTCTAAGTGCAATTAATTTTCATGATGGTGAAACAACATTAGGATCACTAGAAGAGGAAAATTTAAACGAACTCAATGCCATGTTTATGTATTCGTACTTACTCAAAGATATCTTGATCAAAATGGACTTTGGCAAACAAGCAAAAGAACAATTTGTTAATTTTTGTCGCATCAAATATGCTGACAATCGATTTGCATTATATTTCATTGATGAATTCGAACAAAACTATGAAAAACATAGCCCTGTATGGTGGTATACACGAGAGTCTTTAATTTATCCAATGTTAAATCAAGCTTTACGAGAACACGACACTGAGACTCTTTTTAAGATGGGCTTTTTCATTAAAGATCTTCATCAACAACTGGAACAGATTCATTCACTGGCAGTCACCAATACTGACACATTAGTTGTTTATCGAGGTCAAAGGTAAGCTAGCATTTCTTTACAAAAACGACTTGATGATGTGTTATTTTCTTCAGTGTATCGAACAAGGAATTTATTAAAATAAAAAGTAGTCCAAGTGGTCTTATATCATTCAATAGTTTCTTATCAACAACACCAGACAGATTACTGGCTCAAGGTTTCGCCGAGGGACAATTGGGCAATTCTGAAACGAAGGCTATTTTGTTTAAAATGAATATTTGTTCTGAAATTCGATCAAGTCCATTTGCATCTCTCAATGGTTTGAGTTACATGGAAGAAGAGGACGAGATTCTCTTCTCAATGCATACTGTATTTCGAATTCAAAGTATTCAACAACAAACTAATCAGCCTGAAATATGGGAAGTACATTTAAAATTAACAAGTGCCGAAGTCGATCAGAATCTTGCACTTCTTACTGAACACATGCGAGAAGAACTTGAAGGAGGAACAAGTTTACATCAACTCGGTCAGTTAACAGCAAGAATGGGAGAGTACGATAGAGCACAGGAAATCTATGAACTATTGATCTTATCGTCACCCATTGATGATAAAAAAGGACTTGCTTTCTTACACCATCAACTAGGTGTTGTCTATACTGGACAAGGTAATCTTGACGATGCTCTATCTCATTACCAGAAATCGCTTGACCTCGAGCTGAAATATTTGCCACCTAATCATCCACAACTTGGACCGACTTATTCTAATATTGGAATGATATACGAAGACAAACATGAATTGGATCGTGCGTTGGAATATTATCAAAAAGCGCTAGAAATCGACATTGGAGCTCCTGAATTGGATCAACAATCTGCATCAATCAGTTACAATAATATTGGAGGTGTTCTCCTAAGACTTGGCCGTTTTGAAGAAGCTCTAGAGAACTACAACCGATGTCTAGAGCTTCAACTCAAAAGTCTTCCACCAACTCATCCTCAAATTGGTGCACTCTACTCTAATATGGGAGTTGTTTGTCTTGACAGACACGATTGGTCACAAGCACTCGACTATTTCAACAAAGGCCTCACAATCCAACGAAAATCAGTTCCTCCCAATCATCCTTCTCTAGCAATTACACATTATAACATCGCTCTAGCTTATGACGGACTTCATCAGTACATCGATGCAATCAAGTATGGACAACAAGCATATGATATTGCCATGCATACTTTTCCTTCTAATCATCCCGAGTGTCTTTCCTATGAAGTATATCTTAATAAACTTCGTTCTAAACTGTAGCAAAAAATATTAGCAATATTCATTGATGATCTAATAATACTTCTGTTGAAAAAACACAGCAAATTTGAAATTGATTAGATAGTTCTAAATGTTCCTATACTTAAACACTTTTTGACCCATCCCGAAGAAATAGGAGCTGAATTGTTTTTGACGAAAATTAAATAAGTAAGGACGTGTTTAGTTACAGTAGGCTAATACAGAAGACATAATTAGCCACTGTTCTACCATTAGTGCATTCATCAGTGTATTGACAATCATTGTCAACGCAGTTTCTAATAAAATCTCATCTCACTGTTATCGTTAGAATTGCCATCGATCGCATTCAGTCGTGTTTTTTTATGTGAGATACGTCTATTTTGAATTTTGCGTTTACACCTGTAGTTATCTACTAAGCTGTCAGAATCCAACTTTCTCTTCAGTGGCTCATCAAGAAAAACAAGCCTAGCTGTCTGATGTCATTCACTTTGATATTATGAGTATGAAAAGATCGCCGTGAAATTCACAAAAGGCTTGAAAGTTGAAAAAAAAACTTATAAATAATGTTTATTGTAAATTCCGTCTTTATATAAATCTAATAGCTATTTTAAGAAGTGCTAAAAATTTCAGATAAACTAAACATGTTTTTGTCAAGCTATTTCGATATCAAGTAAGGTTACACTAGATAATGACAATGTACACAGTATATTTTATTATAAATTATATTCGTATGCTAAAAGAAAACTACTTCACTTTATCAAATATATCTATTTTCATTTACAATCAGATTTGGTCACTGAACAGCCGTGTAGTGAAATGAATATGTTCAATTTCGATGTTGCTGGTCCAAGATCACTTGTATTCAATCGTTGCCTAGCTATCATAGAAGCACATAAACATTTGAGATGTGTTGGAGTTGATTTCGACTTGAGAAAAGCTTTGGTTTCTTGACTAGTTGCATACATCAATGGTGTAAGTCCATAACGATTCATACAATCAATATGAGCACCAGCATTTAAAAGTAATTTGATCATTGTTTGATTCTCTGACTGATGACATAACAAATGAAGAGCTGTATTGTTCATTATGGATTCGACAGCATCCAAATCGAGCCAACGATGTCCACAAGCGAGTACCAGTCGAAGTGCAGATTCATTAGGAAATCTATGAATAACCAAAAACAAAGAAAAAACATCATACTATTCATTTCTAGAAATTATTTGCAATCATTTTTCGAAAATAAAGATCATTTAATGAGAAACAACGTGATCCAATGCTACGTCTGCATACCTGAGATAACGTGCAGTATTTGAACTATGCCGATAAGAAAGTCCATAAGTGTTGCCACTAATACATAGATGAACTATTGTTTGTCGATCTGAAGGCATTTGCCATTGTTGACACAGACGACTAATCCAATTGCAGAGAACTGTTTGTTCTGCACTCGTCAGTGGTTGTTGTTCGAAGATCTAAAGTAATAGTATCAGTAGACTAGTAAGAGAAAAATCAAGTACATGCGAAAAAATGATGTACTTTTGCTGTGATAACAACGAAACATAATTGATTGTAAATCATTGGTTCATGATGAGTGGTTTGGGTTGAGTCAAAGGTGCAGTGACAAACTTCAATGAATCGATCGATCGGTATAGGTTTTTCTGCTGTAATCATCTTGCAAAAGAGCCGAACGAAGGGATAAAGATTCATTGTATGCTGCATTTGTTTGGAAACAGAAAAACTATGAATCCATAAGGCGAGGCATTTATCAAATTCATTTTTGGTTAAAAGATAGTGACTATAGCCATTCAATACTTTTGCTAGTTTTGGATCCTTGCGAGGAATAAGAATACGTTCTAAAACCAGTAATACTTCGATCCATATTCGATTGGAATCAGTTTTAATCGAATTTAGTTCTTCTATAGTTTGACATTCTTGATAATAGTTATAGATAGCCAATGGTTGGCGACAAACTTTTGGACTTTGTATTGCTAGACGTTGTTGAAGAGCAAAATATAAATGTTTGTACAATTTATTCTCATCGATAGGAAAAAGTCGACTTTCAATTAGGAATAAAATAGCAAGCTCAACATCATCGATGTTGATGATAGATTGTTCTAGTAGAAAATGAATAATTGACCAATGTTCTTTTTTGACAGCAATAGCAAGTAGAGTATCACCGGCTTTGTTCTTAACAGTTGTGTCTGCACCAGCAATGCACAATATTCGAACTAATTCTAAATTGCCGTCGTGAACAGCTAATATCAATGGTGTTGTAAATTTGCTTGAAAAGTTTGTGGTGCAATAGTAGTCAACATTGGCACCTTTTTCAAGCAAATATTTGACAACTGATAGATGGTTTTGTCGTATGGCCCAAACCAATGCGGTCGATTTTGCGCGAGTAGTTGATCTAGTTTCATTCACATCAACATAACCATTTTCGATAAGAAATTGAACAATATCAAGACGATTTATTCGAGTAGCGTGAATCAATAGAGGATGATAAGGTTCATTCAGAGTACCATGATTGACATTAGCTCCACCAGCATCGATCAACAGTCGAGCAACGGTAAAATGTGCTCGATAACAAGCACAATAGAGAGCAGTGATACCTTCGAGAGTCGTCTGATCATCCAGGTACATGATACCTTCGAGTTCTACTTGATATTCTGGTTCACAATGTTTAAATAAAATACGAACAATATTTTCGTATCCATATAGAGCGGCTACCATCAGTAAACTCAGCTGCTCTTGACCATACCAACTCACAGAGGTTACATATTCGATTCGATTCGACAGATTGTTTAGTCGGTGATCAAGTTGATCTGCTAAACCGTCACATACCAGAGCGTACAGTTCGTCGGATATCTTATCGTTCGTATAGAATGTCTCACAAGAAATAATTTCTTGCATTGGATAAGTTTTAATGATAATGAAAAACAACGAATGAATGATTTTCTAAATACAGCAATTCATTTTAATATTATCCCTGAATAGATAGCTGATGCAAGATGATATTGCATCAGTAATTTCAAGCATCTTGCACCTTTGTTAATATTTGTTTGTGACAACATCGTTGCATAGGAAAGGTTAAGAAAAGAAAAAGAACAGAGACGATTTTTTGCATGCGTCTGTCGCAATTCGCTTACTTGACGAAGGAATGAATTTTGTAAACCAGGTAAAAACATCATACTTTTGTTGCTTGAAATGAAATCATTTGTTGCATCAGTCACAAGTTCAAGTCACCACTTTCGTATTCTCATAGAATTGAATTCTTTTTACGGTCATCTGTTTCTATCATTTGTCTTTTTTTGTTGACTGTTCCTCATATACGAAATTGTGCAATAGAAAAAAAAAATAGGAACTCAATACTTTGCAACTTTACTACATCGATGAGCCTCATTATTTTATACGGTATTTTTACACTATTTTTTTTATTTATGGAAAAAAACTTTCAATAAAGTGTTAAAAAAGTAGACTTTCGAAGTAAGGCTTTTACTTTTAAAAATATATTTGTTTGAATTTTGAACATATTCATAATACTGAGACCCTAGGGAATCTGCTTTTTTTGTGTGGGTATGATTGTTGGTGCTGTAGTTGTGGAATGTGGGACATTGGAGTAGAGAAAATTTACATCCAGACTTCGAAAAGAATCATCTCTATGAATTCATCTATTAGATGACATGTTGTCTGTAGACTGGTGTACTTTATTATAGAAAAATTAAAACACATTTTCTTGAAGCATATACTGAGCTCTTTTATAATTAAGAATGTTATTGAAAAAAATATTTCTAATAACCAAACGACTTGATTTCAATATAATACCAATAATAATAGGAACTTCATCGATTGTTTTTCTGTGAATATCGTAGAAAATCTACATATGACTGATCTACTAAAGTATCAGTTTCACGAGATCGTTGAGACATCTTTAGTTTCATTTTCGTTTGTCATTTCTTCGTTAAACTCGATTGACAAGCTTTGTTTTGCAATCTTAGATGGCACAAATTTGATCTGCAATACAATTATTTTTATTCTAATGTTTACAAGCATATATGTTCGATTTCAACTATGTTGAATAAAACTTGAAGAAACAACAAATTAAATCATCGTTCTCTTCGTCTAGCATTTTTCTCTGTTGCCTTTTCCCAGCTCTGCTTACTATGGATGTAATTATTTACATCTAAAATAATGATTATAATATTGTACTCAGTAGAACGAAACAATTCAGCGAAGTTCACAAATCGGATATAAAATTTACCTATAGAGTATTCTATTTTCATGGGCTCTACTTTCATCATAAATCCAGCAGCTTCCAGGACTTTTTTTTGGGGTTTTTGAATAAGCCTCTATGCATTTTGAAATAAATTCCATACAATTACTCAGTACATCAATGCATACTTGGAGTATGGGTGAGCTGAAATATCATATAATTAATAAATTCTTATAAATACTCAACATATAAATAAATCTCATAGAAAAAATAAATTTCGAAAAAATAAGTCTTGGTAGTTCTTTGATCTCTATTCAAATTCCAAAATTTATGAAAGTTGATCTGACGCAAATTGCAATAATTGCGTCTGATCAGATAGACATTATTGCTTTAGTTCTTTATAACAAGGGTGGAAGGGTATGGATGTGAATGTGGATATAATTGGTGTATGGCTGCTGTAGGGATAAAAGAGGTGTACAGCACTTCACACACACACATCTACAGCCCAATCTGATCACTGAGACTTTATTAATTATTTCAGCAACATTTTGTGACATAAACAAGAGGAAAAGAAGCGTATGGGCATGATTTCTCGATTTTCGAGTGTCAACGTTTACTGCTTTTACAATCAATAATTGTTTAAACATGTTGACAAGATTCATCCTTGTCAGGAGTCTATTCAACGATAACGAGCTGTTGCAACTGTCTGTAGCGGTATCATGGTTTGAATGGTTTGCGGTTTGTTTGCTCCCCAGAACTTCTTATGCAGATCAGACAGTGTGATCAGGGAGAGAAAAGGGGAAATAAGTGGTGTCAGATAGACAGCATAGTTAAAAATATACTGGTAGAGATTGTTTATCATTTCATTGTCTGGAATGAAGATAAGCATGATGCCGAGAATAGTGTATGGAAACCATGTAGATAAATAGACACATGTGCATAGCAAGAGCTGAAGAATTATCTTCTTATTTTTGTTCAGTAGACGCGTCTGTCTCATTTGACACTTTTGATAGACAACTCGTCCGAAGAGAAGTCCATTCATAAGAATAACAATCACAGCTGGTATGATCATATTTACAACCCAGTCGTATGTACCAAGAATAGAGTTACTTTGGTAGCAGCCTGATGCACATCCCCATTCTTCGTAGTTGAATTCATTTGAACATTTGTAAATGAATAGTACACCGACATAAAACATAATTGGATAGACGATGCAGAACAGAAGTGTCAGATAATGAGTAATCAGAAGATGACGTTTGAAAAACGCTTCGTTGAACACAAGCAAATATCGTTCCACAGAGATCCATGCCAGTAGGAAGAGAGAAACGGCAAAAGTAGCAGAACCATAGAAGAACCAGACGAGACAAAAGACATCGTTAGTGAAAGCAGTAATTCCCCGATATAGGAGTGCCAGTGTGAATGGAAGTTCTGTGGTGCAAATTAAAAAATCATTCACGAGAAGACACAATAAGACATGATTGACTATACGACGCACGAGCAGTCGATGTCGAGGCACGAAACAGAGATTGTAGAAAATGAACAAAAAACACAATACCGCTGGCACTTGCAGCGAGAGTAGAATACCAAATTGAACTGGATAGGATGATGGATGAATATTCACCAACTCTGTCACATTTGTTTTCTCGTTTTTACTCATTGTTCACTATGCAGACAAATGAACGCGAGATTTCAAGACCGTGTGGACTTGATACGGATAAATTGAAAGTGTAAAAAAGATAAATTACTTTACTACTACAATAGCAACAAGTTCGCTCGTCATGAATATCTCTGAAGAGAAAATAACGTATACTTGCTTTCAGAGGTTTTTCGAGCGAACAAATAGATGTGTTTATACTGTTTCATGCACTTCAATGCTCTGACAGATTTTTTTTAATCATATTAAACACTACATGAATCTATTTAGAAATGCTCACGAGATAAGACTCGACATAGCACAGATAAAATGTGCTATACAATAATAGTTATCAAAAAAATAAAGAACAAATAGTTTGCAACAAAGTGATCGCTGTATAAAGATAAAACAAAACTCAATAGATTACCTACAATTCGAGGTGATTCTTTAGTGTTACTTAAGAAAACCAAGATAAATGAAGCATTTATCTTTAAAAAATAACGATAAAAGAAACAGATAAAAATTCTTTTATCTTTGTTTTATAAAGATAAATGATTCTTTCATCTTCATTAAATAATGATAAAGGAATCTTTTATCTTGAAAAGAAAAGAAAAAAATAATAAAATAAATGAATAAAGCATTATTTTGCTAGAGATAATGCAATAAGGAGAGTTCTATCGTTTAGTAAATGTGCTTTGATTGAAAACACATTCAATTAGATAGGATTCAAAAAATTAAAGAAATAAAGATTTTATTTCTGATGTTTTTAAAGAATAAACAAGCAAGAAAATTTTTTTTATGGTATTCTCGATGCAATTAAAGCCTCACTGTGTAATGAAACATCTTTTTGAGACGCTATTTGTAGCCAATATAGTATCTCAGTTGGGTGTCACTTTCTCTTTCTATCTCTGAATAGAAATTTATTGTAACTATCAGTTTGACTTCAAACTATCTATAATGCCGTGAACCATAGCCGAAATTGCTCATCTAGCCCTTCACATTGTTATTTATCAGCTATTAAACTATGCATGCTATAAGATACGTATTGGACACATGACTTTATTCTCAAAACGAAAAGTTCTTTTTTTTTCTTCTTCTTTTCACTTGTTTAATAAAACACTGATGATGTACACACAGATACGATGGTAGACAAAATCTTTTGCTAGTTTATGAACCCATTTCATAGTCGACCACAGTTGATATGTTTTTGCTGCGTCCTTTCCAGGGCTGACAACAACAACAGAGTGAAAGTTTCGTGTTAGTCATTACCAGGACAGAGCACAGCATGGCGAAAAAAAGTGCCCTATAACTGTGTTTGATTTCGACTTGTATATGTCAGTTTAACTTTTAAACAGCCAAAGTATAGTAGGTATGTTCAGGATGTCCTCAGTGATCAGTGTCAACTTCTCGACCCTTACATTCAATGTTCTTGTGCACGATGAATATCTAATTTTTGATTCCTGATAAGAACGCACTCGTCAAACTAGATGTATCAATTTCAATGCCATAGAAAATAATGTTGATTTTTCAATCATCCGATGAATCCTGATCATTTTCTACAAATTTTTGGGTGCTGGAACCTCCCTCAGGTACTCGTGAATTCTTTTTGTATTCATTCCATTCATAATTTGTGTAAATCTATAGAGCAGCTTGTAGTGATCACGAATATCCATTCATTTTCCAAATTAGCCGAGAAATAAGACAGATCTAGAGTATTTTTAGAATGCCTAAAAAAATAGTTTTTGAACTAAAAGATCATTATTATCCATGCAAGACTAGTTGAAAATACACTTATTCGATACAGAATTCTTTTCTCTATGAGAATCTATAAAAACATTTTTGAACTATTAGTCCCTTTCAACCAGTGATTGCCGAATACCGCTCCAA